GCCTGAGGTTCGGCGACCCCGGCGGCGGTTATCGGCCGCCGGACCTGCTGCTTAGGGAAGATGAACAGTAAACTTGCATTCCGAAAATGCAACTTGCCAAAGTACCTCCAGACCTGCCTTGGGCTAAAAGCCTTTAAAGTCCTTTGGAAATACAATTGCATTTCCCCAAAGTGTTCCAAAAAAATTGCCAAACGCCATTTGCATTTGGCCAAGGATCTTTAGAGCCCCAATGCTCATTTCAAATGTTGAACCAAACGGGGCCTTAGTCATCACATATGCTAAGAGGGAAGCTCTTTCGTAATGAATTGGCAACGCAAATCCTTTTCAGACAGAAGAGAACGCGACATCTTTTGTTTGGGATATGATACAATAGTGATGAATTGCTAATGCTTGTTTTATTCTTTATAGACCAATTCATGATTTTGATGTCTTGTGATGTTCTATTGAAACTATTCCAACGAATTGACAACGATAGATTGAAAGAGAGAGTATTTGTAGGCTCTTATGCTATCACATCACTTACCCACCTAACTAATTCCTCGATACAAAAATAATGCTGAAGGTACTTTTCTTCGAGTCAAAATAATAAATTGGTAGTACCTGATTTGATGCGATTGGTTGGTGGCGAGCGACGCGATATTCCGCTAATGCCTAGAAATCTCTCATATTAAGGAGGGATTGGGTTAGGCTAATCGAATGCGAAGACATCATTTTTGTCTCGACTACAAAGAGGTTCTCAAAATTATCGTTTGTTACGCATAGACTTCGAGTTCAATTTGGCCACGTACGCATCGGTTGTACCGTCTTTTGGAACGTGCCCTTTTCTTTTAAACCGGCGAAGCGACTTCACAGTGTTTGACTTGGATTGCGATGACATAATAATTAAAATCTCTTCGATCAAGCTCCAAAGGAACAGACAAAGGCTACCTTTCTTCTGCCACACTCAAATGGCGACCTTATAGGATACAGAGATTTGTATGAAACAATTAATTGACTGTAGCATACACTAATTAAAAATTGCATTAAACACCAAAGGTTGTATTGCAACCTTCTCAGGGGTGAGCCACCAAAAAGAAAGCTAATGGTTTACTAGTCAAAGACTTAACAAGGACTCTCTCAAGCCCACACCAATCGCAACTTTGGAATTTTAATTTAATCAATTAAAGATCAATTAATTCAACTAGGAATCACCATTAATCTATTATGGGTCGATTAGAAACCCAAGTAAAATTTGGAAGAACATTTTATTTCTGCAAATCATAAATATCATGAATACGGGGACTTGATTACGTTATATAAATCTAACGCACTTTCATTTCTTGAGTTCATAATGTATTTTCATTGCATATATTCTTGTTGCGTTTTTAACGCAATGGTGCATACTAGTGCTATATCGAATGCCGATTAATCATATCATATGGCACCACGGACCTCACTCCATGAAAGCGAATTCGATCGTGGGTATCTCCCAAAGCATTAGACAACACTATTGTGTTGGAAAATTACTCAATCAATCATAAATCTATTATACGAATTCCAATTTCAGTCTCAAACTTTCAAATTTTGCTAATTTAGTCATAAACCTTTGTGCGAGATCTCAATATAGTTTGACCAATTTTTGTAGGAAATTAGCGATTGGATTGGACAATTTACCCTTATACATAGGTAGCTTAAACCTTGCTGGAGCAAATATTAGCCATAAGCACCGCAAAGTACAAGCTTTATTTCACCGTTCTAATCTTTTTAGGGCCTAATCCTTTCTCTTTCTTTGGCAATCATATAATATTTAGGCTTACCTTGGCACCTTTGGTAGTGATTGACTCTAGAGTGGGTCGGTTCCCACCATGAAACTGGACCAAAAGGATTGGTTCCTAGTTTGTGGAATTAGCAATCGGCCCATCTGGTCTTGGAATCGAATCGACTAATGGGTCCAGGAACTGGCAGAAATATCTTTCTTTTTTTCCAATTCCTTGCAAGATTACAATTGTTGCGATGTCAAAACTACTACACGAATGATGTTAATAGAACTAATTGATAGCTTAGCATTAGAGATGGAAGATTAAGAGCTTTTCATTGCATCAATGAGTTGTGAAGCTCTTGGAATGATAAAGCACGCGTGCAAGTCTATGCATGTGTTCATAGTATGTCTCCAAGAGAACAAGCTTGCATAATAAGCTAAGCATGATGATCATTTTCACGAACAAAAGTTATAATGTCATTGAGATCAAAAGGTGGATCTAAACTCTCATTTTTTAGTATTTGAGATCTTTAATCAATGAAAATTTCAATGGAAAGACGCTAAAACTATGATAAAATATGATCAAGTATCATTAACAAGTTAATAAAAAATAGCAACTTTTAGTTAAAATGGTGTACTGGATGTCGTTATGGCTTGACAAACAAAATAATCTTAGCCTTTGACATTCACATGTTATTCTAGCTTCTCTAATGGTTGTTCATTTTGTAAGAAATGTTTTGTAACAATAAAAATTGTAAAAAGGTATGGTCCAAGAGGTCTGGGTGGTTCAGTCCACACTTGAAGTCGGGAACTGGATTGACTATCACTGATTCTAAATTTTAGGAATCAGGAATCACCCCAAACCGGCCGATTCGGTCTGATTCCGATGCTTACCCCCATTAGAAATATCACCTTTCCAGAGTTAAGCTACAATCTTTTGCTCAATATTCTCAATCATTTTCTTTGGAAGAATGAAGACATGGCACCAATATTTGGTGATGCTTGGAATAATAGTACTAATAAGTTGGAGCTGAGCAATGGAAAATTATCAAAAAAGTCATGAATCTATTATGCGGATGCCAATTTAGTCCTAAACCTTTCAATTTAGATAATTTAATTCTAAATTTTTTGACAATTTACAAATGTAGTTCTTCTAACCAATTTTGATTGGAAATCACTAACGTGTATGCTCACTGTCCTACATGGCAGGCCGGCACTGATGTAGCTAATTTTTTAAAATCTTTTTAATTTTTTTGAATTATTTGAATTATTTTCTTTTTTTTCCTTCTTCCTCCATAGGTCACCATGGCTAGCACCCGGCCACATGCGAGGGCCAGGTCCGCAAGGGTCAAGGGGTTGACCTTGCTAGCCCTCGCTCGTGGGCAGTTGCTGGTCATGGCAATCGGCAGAGGAAGAAGGAAAAAAAAAGAAAAAAAAAGAAAAAGAAAAAGAATATAAAATCAAAACAAAAAAATAAAAAAAATTAAAGAAACTGTTCAATTAGTGCCGGCTGTGCCACATAGAACGACTATTGCCACGTAGGATGCCTGGCGTTAACGTCAGCGATTTTTAGCTACAATTAGTCGGAATAAATAATCGTATTGATAAATCATCAAAATATTTATGATTAAATTGACAAGATTGAAAAGTTTAGGGGAATGAATTGACATTCGTACAATAAATTTAGAACTTTTAAAATAATTTATCCGCAAACTCTAACCCCACAACCGTGGCTCGACTAGTCATCCGATAATTCCTTTCGATTGAAACTCAAAAATATCATCCATAAAAACAATGGGAGCCAATACTTCGATCCAACCGATCAGCTCTAATGTGAAGTTAAAATTCCTCAATCACATCATTATGTTTCCTTTTCATCCACGAACGATTGCAGTAACAACAACAAATTCACATCTCAGATGAATCTCCTCGAATCAGAGACATCCGAATCCGAATGCCCTTTGTTGTTTTTCTCCTTCCATCCACAAAATATCCAACATCAAATTTAAATCTAAGTTAATCTCCAATATTAGCATCCCACTGAAATCTACATGAACACATCAACCAAAGGGTTTATCTACTTAAAGAAACTTAATGTCTACTCCTTCTTACTTCCACAATAATTATCCAAATAATCCCATTCTAATTAACATAACCAACGACAACTTTATCACTAGATTCATATCCCTTAAACTAAAGGCATCGAAAACTCAAAAAAAATAAATTATATTGACACCATCATCATATTTTCTTCTATTAGACCGCAAAATATCTAGATACTTATAAGAGATGAACATCTTAATTATTGTTTTAGATAATTTACTCATGACACGAGATACTTAACCGAATTGGAGGGTTCTCAAATTTTAATGGGCCAACTTACTCGGTCCTCCAAGGAACCGAGAGAGACAGAGAGATGGACCCCCACGACCATTTAAAAAAAGAAGATGGTCGACAATCAATGATCGCGGCAACATAAGATTAAACGACAAACAACATTGAAAATCGGGTCGATGACAATATTGCGAAGGTGAATCGACACGAATAACCACAACATATCAGAGTGAGTCCCCTTCAAAACTTCCAAGGAGTAAATTGATGCAAAACTTCCTCACAAGCATTCTAAAATGAGATAAATGCATTCACGTCCTAAAGCTTTCGAAAATAGTATTATCAACGAAAGGACTTGATTGAATTAATTCGATAAATTTTAGGATTTGATTGCACTTTTTAAAAATTTTATGGCTCGATTGCGTTTTCGTGACAAGTTTAAGGATTTATTTATATTTTCAAAAAATCTTAAGACTTTCCAGTGTACTAGCACCTTCTTTATTCTGAATTCAAAGGATAGGGCCCAGCCTAGAAGTTAATTTAATATGATTTTAACAAACGTGTGGCCTAGAAAGTAGCTGCCCTTCTCTATTTCATCGATTATCTTACTAGATAGTCCTTTATTCAAAGGAGAGAAAAGATTGGGGCAGCATAGGCTTTGATTTCTGTGCCACCCAACGTAGAAGAAAATTGGGAGCAATATTTGACTGGTCTTTCTGATGGTCCAAACACGAGATGAACTCGGACTCAAACTCCAAAACACAAGCTCCCAAACTCAAGAAGAAGCTCTCTTGTAAAACCTCGCTTTACATTCTTATGGACTGCAACTTCTCAATAAATACAGAGAGTCGCATCACCCATTCTTTCCGTCCCTTTTGATTTCCCCCAAAAAAGCAAGAAGCACAACCCGACCCGCACAGATCCTCTTACACATCGATTTCTTCGACTCCTTCTTCCTCTTCTTCTTCTTCTTCTTCTTCTTCGTAGTTGCCGAAACGCGACGCGTTCCTGTCCTTCCCTCGTCAATCGGAATTCCCTCGTTCTTCCTCTCTCTCTCTCCCCCCGTTCAACAAAACGGCGTCTTGCCGTCGTCTTCTGCCATAGAGACCGAATCGAACGTGTCCAACCCTTCAAACAAGTCCTTTCCCCCAAATTTCCCCTCTCTTTCTCCTCGTCTCTCCGCGCGCGCGCGCTTGTTGTTATATATGTGGAGGAATCGGACCGGTATAGCCAAGCTCGTGGGCAGATCTGCGATGCAATTTGGCTTCCGGTTCTTGAATTCGTCGGGATTCTTCTGAAGGCGGGGGCTCTGAGGATATGACCGGCGCTTCGCATGTCGCCGGCGGTGGCGGTACAACTCGAGATTTCCTCTGCCATGCCGGTGCCGGTGCAGCTGCGGGTAAGCGCGTCGGGCTCCGAAGTTCTCAAGTTCCGTTGTTTCGGCAGTGACGGGCTTGCGATGCCACTGGGGATCTTCGTTCAGTGCTATCGGTGCTGGGGGGGAGATTTGGGGGATTTTAGTGGAATGGCTTGATTTTTTTTGCGTGCTTGTGGATTGATGCGTTGTGTGGTAGCTGGTGGTTCTGGTTTTGTGGCTGGTTTGTGAATTGGTTGTTGATTTGACTTGCAGGTTCTATTGCGGCCACCTTTGTTTGTCCCTTGGATGTTATCAAGACGAGACTGCAGGTCCATGGCGTCCCTACTGGTCACAAAGGTATGATCTTTCTTGGAAATTTGTAGTTGCCTCTTGATGAGAATGAACTTTTTTGCGTTTTGGTGATGAAGGTTGAGGTGGGTTTGTGTGAGCTAGTGATGCTTAGCTGTAGAAGTTAAAAGACGAGCTATTGTACAAGGGAAGATGCTTCTTTTCTTTGTAAATGTAGTATGGTTCACTCTTGAACCTCAACCTCTTGGCAAGGAAGGCTATGCTCTACCATTAAGCTATTTCCTCCTGCTAATGGGGGAGGGAGTGTGGCTGTAGTATGGAATTTGGAAGCTGCCGTCCAAATTTTAAACTATAGTTTTGTGAGTTTTGTTTCTCTAGGTGCAATGTCTTTCAATTTACTAAACTCGCAATGTACAAATTCATTTACTAATTCCAGTATGGACACCTAACTTTTACCACGTGACCTAAAACAGACAGAATGACAAGGTTAACATAAATTATGGGAATTTGCAAGAAGTTTTAGATGATGGACTTCAGTGTGTAGAAGCCATGAGTGGATTTTCCTGATAATAATAGGTCTTGACTACTGCTGGCTCTAGCAAGTTAATAGGGTCAGGGTCCATTTTGTCTGTCAGGATATTTGATCTGTCAGGATACTACCTGGGTTGACAAAAAAGCAGTAAGAAGAACACCGACGAAAATTTTGCAAGAGTCTTTTATAAATATATCAGAAGTTAAAAGAGTTAGGTAATAAATGCATGGTCAGATGGTTGTTTTTCCTGCATTCAGTACTTAAATTCATTACATAAATCTCTTAGGGAAATTCCGTTCATTCCGTGCTTAATTACATCAGTGTTAATAGAGAGGAGCGCAGTGCTTCAGCTAGAGTCTCCCTAATGAAGATTCTTAGCCTATATTAGGAATTTGAATAATTTTTAGCAAACAACTCACTTGGCTCTCTCAAGTCTATACAATTCAGTACGGTCTCATAATTTTTCTGGTGTAGTTGAGTAACACCAATGGATGATTACATGGTTAAGGGCAATGGGGTTGTCAACTATCAAATGAAAATGTGCAAGGTGTATGTGCCTAAAGAGTTCAAGCAGAGCCAACTAGCATTCAAATAGTACCAAAGCTCTTTCTAAGTCCGTTTGTAAGAGTCCCTTTGCCTATATATATTCACCTTGCTTAATTTCCCCACGTGAAGTTGCCTAGGTTGCCTTTGTCAAGAACCTAGGGTCAGCCCTTGACCTCTGTTTGCTATATTCTGATTTTGTGTCCGTGCTTTGAAATGATGAGGTACAATCCTGTCTTTGACAGAAGCAAGCCCAAGGCTGACGATTTTCTTCTAGGCGCTTTGTTGAATATTGGGGTAGAGTCTTAATTGTGATCCTGTTTTAATGGCCATTTGTGGACTTCTCCTATTGCCAATTCAACCAACAAAGAGTAGGCCTATATGTAACTATTCTTTAGAAAAATTGTGAAGATCTTACATTGAGGACAACAGAGTCTGAGGAGACTTTAGAATTTTTGTTAAGCTCTTTCACCTAGGATCAAGAGTGCAATATTTGCAAGGGAGATCTACATCTAATTGGATCTCGAACTATTGATTCGGTGTATAAGTATCCTCCTTAATTTACCCTGTTTAATGGTGGAAAGGTTTTCTCGACAACTGGTTGATTCAAAGTCTGCCGTTGCCAGAGTGAAATATATTATAACTGATTATTGTCTTCAAATAGTGAATTAGAGTGGCCATGACTTTGGCTGATGTGTAAAAATAGAAACAACCAGGCCTTTTTCCACTGGGTGGAATCAGCTACTTGAATTCTTTGATGGAGTTGCTCTAGGATTAGTATCACACAGAGGGGAAGTTTTAGTGATTTTGAATGATGTGGGAAGAAATAAGAGGTGGCATTTCATTTCATCTCTACGTCCATCCAAAGTCTAATATCTGTCTCTTATGTAGATCTTGCCAACCTTGTGAAGTGTGAATTCGTCGGGTTTTACACCTGACTCGTGTGACATGTAAAAAGTAACACTTCTCAAGTTTCCCTGATACGCAAAAGAACAATACCTATCACTTATAGGTGGAATCAAGTGAAAATAGTATATTACAGTGGTCGAAGATCGTAACTGCTTGGAAAGCACAAGCGGGTGAATGGAAAAGGAAAGAGATTGTAATACAAATACTATAGTGTGGTTGACCTAGTATTATGCAACTAATTGAATGAATTGCATCTGAAATTTTCCAGGATTGTCTCTTCCGCCAACTTAATAAGCACATATCCTTCCACCATTGAACTTCAACTGTTTATCTGTGTATTTTTGCAACATGTTGACCTTGAGAACGCCTCAAAACTCTTATGATTAAATCTTGTACATCTTTTTTTGCTCTCCTTCTGGAACTATTACTTATGATTACTCAGGAAAGCAATCAGTGCTCCTGAAACAGTTTTTGGGTTTACCTATCTCTTCAATTTTTTAGTAGTTCTATCTATTATTGTATGTTGCTGTTCCATCTGTATCCCATTTACATGCAGGAAGCATTATAATCACAAGCCTACAGAACATAATAAAGCAGGAAGGCGTGAAGGGACTGTACCGTGGTCTCTCACCAACAATTCTGGCTCTTCTTCCGAACTGGGCTGTGAGTATTAGTACTTTTTTCTTCTGTTGACTAGACTTGTTAGTTCTAGTCTGCGAAAGAAATTAGATTGCATCTGTTGCTATTTTCAATAGGAAATATTTGTTGTGCTTATTTTTATAAACAATAGCTCCCAAACTGGTTATCATCTGATTAGGCAGCCATGTCTCTCATCATCTGTTGGTCAAGATTAGGTGGCAGTGCTGGCGGTCAGTGACCACCTGTTATTAGCTGTTATACCACTAATGTTAACTGACACTGTTCTTACTATTATCACCTTTTACTTGAATAGACATCTGGTAAGCACCAAAGGAAAAGGGTGCTCTGCCACAAAGTTCTTGCAGTATAATCAATTCATAGCGGAAGTAAGCTGGGACATGGTCTCTAAACAACAGCATATGTGGGATGAGGAAACTGTGTGTTCCTCAAATGAATTTAAAGTATTGGTGGCTGGGAAAAATATCTATGGTGCTAATTTGTAAGCTGGTAGATAAGGAACCCTTTTTGGATACCACATGTCTTATATGTGCATGTTATACACGCAATTTATTTATACTCTACGAAGACAGTGGTTAGGAAAACAAGCTTGTTTACAGTTTAGGAAAACGGAATTGCCATGTAAGAAAATTCTGATGCGGTCAATTTTACATCTCATTAGTCAATTTGGGATGTTCCTTCTATCATCTTAGATAATGCTGGTCCTTTGTAAGGCTGATTTTTACAAGTTAAATGATTTGGTCTCACATCACATGATGCATGCGAGATATCATGTGTTTGCTTTATATGCTCTTTTAAATGACAGAATGCTCATTTATATGTAGGTCTACTTCACAGTTTACGAGAAACTTAAGGGGCTAGTCCATTCACATGGTTGGTTTTCATATTTGCTAACAACAGATCTCCTAGATCTAAGCTTTTCATTGGATACATTTGTCAGCATTTGTTGTAAATGAAGTTCATTGATGTATGCTTTGTCCTTTGATCTTTTAAAGCATTGACTTTGGATGCAGATGATAATGGCAATCAAGTAAGCACGGGTGCCAACATTATAGCTGCTGCGGGGGCTGGAGTTGCCACAGCACTCACTACAAATCCTTTATGGGTTGTAAAAACCAGACTCCAAGTAAGTTGGTCAGTGGTTATTCTGCCTTTGTGAGTTTCCTCTATGATGAGAGTTTCGGGCTACAAATAATTGCACCATTCTGAGCTTCAGCTATTCTTGATATCTTCGATTTGACCTGGTTGCTGGCTTAGATAACTTCAGAAACTAGCCCCAGAAGTCGTGATATGCTTTCTGCAAATGATTTCAGCTGTTTTGCTTATGTTCGGTAAAAATTGCAAAAACGTTCAATCAGAAAGTTTAGATGTTACTGGGAATAGTAATTTCATGTTTGTCTTCTCCATCTAAAGTCCCACAGTTTACTTGGAATGGGCATATATCGTCTGTGATCCTTGCGTTTAAAGTTTCTAGCTTCATAAGAGAAATCCTGTTTTCTGTTTTTAATTTAGCAGCAGGTCAGTGCTAGAAAAGTAAAAATGTAATTGTGCTGATTAAAGGACTATCCTTTTAGACTTCACTTACGACATTAAGTTGCGTTTCTTATTGTAGACACAGGGTATGAGGCCAGATGTGGTTCCATATGCAAGTGTACCTTCTGCTTTAAGGAGGATTGCACGTGAGGAAGGTCTCCGTGGTTTGTATAGGTCAGTTTTTGCTACTGTTTGGAATTGTCTAGACATTCTATGAGGAATATTTCATTTATTGGTGTTTTCCCTCCTACTTCTTCCTTTGGAACAGTGGCATTCTCCCATCATTGGTAGGAATAAGCCATGTCGCAATTCAGTTTCCAGCATATGAGAAGATCAAATGTTACATAGCAAAAAAAGGTATATGCTTGTTCTAAGTGGGTGCATGAAAATTTTGTTGTATTTTTGTGATTTTGACACAGTTATAGCCTTTTGTCTGTAATTTGTTTCCAGATAATACAACTGTCGATCAACTTAGTCCCGGAAGTGTAGCAATTGCCTCCTCAATATCTAAGCTCCTTGCCTCCATCATGACTTATCCACACGAGGTATTTTTCTTTTCTGGACTGGAGAGTTATATCATATCATAATTCGCTATATTCAGCGAAAGCATCGTGTGTAACTTTCACCTATTTGCTTGTGTTTTGTGTGCACAAGGAACTGATTAGAACATTGTCTATTCAGGTGGAACTTTCACCTATTTGCTTGTGTTTTGTGTGCACAAGGAACTGATTAGAACATTGTCTATTCAGGTGGTACGTTCCCGGTTGCAAGAGCAGGGACATGGAGCTAAGGTTCGGTATATGGGAGTTATTGATTGTGTCAAGAAAGTGTTTCGGAAGGAGGGTATTCCTGGGTTCTATCGAGGCTGTGCTACAAATTTACTGAGGACTACTCCATCTGCCGTCATTACATTTACCAGTTACGAGATGATACATAGATTTTTAATACAAGTACTACCTCCAGATGAAAAACATTCGCGGTCCCATCCCCATTCGCAATCCCATCCCCAACCAGAAACCCAAGGAACTAAAGAGGGAGTGAATAGTGGTGTCTCAAAACAATCGCAGGCCCACTCACGTAAGCCAACCCACATAGTTCCGTAGGGAAAGAAAGAGCAGCTAACAGCATAAGTTCATTAGATTTTCTGATGTATTCCATTTTCTGATTTTGATAATTTTTTTTATGTTTTACAAAATTGTAGTGCTTAATTGAAATGCGGAGGTGAATAAAAGAATAATCTTTTTGTTGTTTTATTTATCACACCCGTTGTTGGGTTGGGGCTGTCGTTTGATTTTTGTACTTGTTATTTTTTAATGTGACTGAGATGTCCAATTGTAAGCACTATTGATTTACTGTAGAGCAGCTCCGCTCTTAATATTTTTGTGCCTTAATTGATTGGTGCATGCTCGGGGCAACAACATGAGCAAGGAACGTATTGGCTGATTTTTACACAGCTCTTATTTCAGCTGGAGAACCCCAACTTCACAATGCATCATGGATATGTTGACTTTGCGTTCATGTTTTCCTGTCTTGTTGACCTCAAGCGATATTGAGTTGTCATTTTATATCATGTGCAAACGAGATTGACAAAAGTCCTTCATGGTTATGTACATCCCTTTGGATTTTAACCCAGCAATAAAACCTGGCGATCGCACATCCCGTCACAGCCATGAACTTGTACCGGAGGGTGAAGGAGTTCATGAACAAAGTAGTGATCCTCACCCGCTTACGCCCCAAAAGCCCCGTCTTGCTTTGAGGTTGCACATCCCTATCACAACCTAGAACTTCTACTCGTCTGAGTATGTCTCCAATGGCACTGTGGTTGATCATATCCACAGCATAAAAGCAAACCTCACTATGTTCCCCAGCATGCCCGTATGAGCATCGCCAGAGACCACCAACGCATTTGCATGACTCCGTGCGTCTGGCATTATCCACCGCGATGTGACTACTATTAACATCCTTCTCGACATGCATTTTGGTGTCAAAGTCGCAGATTTTGGCTTTCCAGGCTATTCCTAAGGATGTCAGCCATATCTCAAACAGCTTCTACACCCTGAAGTTGTCCTTCATCTGAACTACTTGCAAATTTCCATAATGTATGTTAATCTTGTCATTCTGTCTGTTTTAGGTCATGCAGTCAAATCTAGATGTCCTTACGGGAATTTAGTAAACAAATCTGCATATCCAGTGGATACACTATACAGCAAATCAAAAGAAATTGCACCTACATAAACAAAATTTAAAACCATCGATAGTTCAAAATTTGAAAGGCAGCTTCCAATTTCCATACTACAGCCGTACTCCTTCTCCCGAAAGCAGGAGGAAATTGCTTAATGGTAAAGCAATGCCTTCCTTGCCAGGAGGTTGAGGTTGAGTGTGAACTTTACAACTACAATTCACAAAGAAAAAGAGCATCTGCCCTTGTACAATGGCTTGTCCTCAACCAAACCCATCTCAATCTTCATCAACAAAGCGAGGAAAAAGTTCATTCTCATCAAGCAGCAACTACATATTCCAAGAAAGATCATACTTTAGTGACAGTGGGAGCGCAACCTGTAGTCTCGTCTTGATAACATCCCAGGGAAAACAAAGATGGACGCAATAGCACCGGCAAGTCATATTAACAACCACTCACAACCCAGCTACGAAAACCAGAACCACTAGTTACCATCCAATGCGGCAATCAACAAGCACGCAGAAATAGCCATTTTAAACTGACAAGAGAACCTGCAGCTGCACTGGCACCGTCACCAGCATGGCGGAAGAAATCTCTGGGTGCTGCCGCCATCGGTGCCGTGTGAATCTTTGGTCATCCTCAGAAGAACCCCGACGATTTCAAGGAAGTTGAAGCGAAATTGCATCGCAGATTACCGATAAACTTGGCTGTATGGATTTGATTACTCGACGCGCACAGAGAGACAGAGTGAGGGAAAATTCGGAGAAGACTCTTCCGAAGGGTTTCACGCGTGAGGAAAGGACAAGTCCTTCGTATTAAAAAAGGTTTGTTAGTTGACAGGAGGACTTTTCCTTTCACCCAATTTTCCCTCTCTCTCTCTCTATGTTCATTATATATGTGGCTTAATCGCATTCGTAAAGCCAAGTTTACAGGCAGATCTGCGTTGCAATTTCGCTCCAAGTTCCTTGAAATCATCAGGGTTCTTCTGAAGGCGGGAGCTTGAGGATGACCGGAGCTTCACACGACGCTGCTGGCGGTGGCACTCGAGATATCTTCTGCAGTGCCGGTGCTGGTGCAGCTGCAGGTGCGCTTATCAACTTCGAAAATTCTTAAGCTTCATTCTGTCGGTAGCTGGTTTGTGAGTGGTTGTTGACATGGCTTGCAGGTGCCATTGCGGCCACCTTTGTTTGCCCCTTGGATGTCATCAAGACGAGACTGCAGGTCCATGGCGCTCCCTCCGGTCACGAAGGTACGATCTTTCCCCGGAAGATGTAGCTACCTCTTTGATGAGAATGAACCTTTTTTTCTCGCTTTGTTGATCAAGATCGAGGTGGGTTTGGTTGGGCTAGTGAGGTCTAGCTGTAGAAGGCAGAGAACAGGCTACTGGACAAAGGGGAGACTGTCTCCTCTTTGTGAAATGTAGTTGTATATTTCAGAGGCGATGCTCTTCCTCCGGCTATTTGGGGAGGAAGTGCGGCTTTAGCGTGCGTTTGGTTGAGCATTTGTAATGGGTTTTGGCACCTCAAAGTCTTCTGGGCAAATGCTAGGCATTTGGCAAATTTTTTGGAGAGCTTTGAGTTTAGTTTTTTTTTTTTCTCTTTAAGGTAAAATGCTTTCCAAAGTGAGATTTTGCCCAACATCATTTAAACCAAAGTTGTTTTTCTCAATCCACTTTAAATTACAATTTACTAAACATTACTTGCATTTTGAAAAACCCATTTAACCCAAAAGCCTTTGTGTTTTCCCAAAAACATTCCACAAAATCGAACCAAATGCACCCTTAGCATAGAATTTGGAAACTGCCGTCCAAATTTCAAACTCTCTTATGGTTTTGTGAGTTTTGTATCTCTAGGAGCAATTTCTTTCAATTTGTGTCAAATTCTTTTAAGAAACACAAAATTTAGATCATCGTTTACTTCGTAGCCAGATACTTTCACTCCATACCCAAATCTTAAACTCCGCCGACTTTCAATCTAATAGTACCGTTAACAGTCCGACATGTTAATTCCATGTGCACATCTCTCTTCCTCCACGTGTCATTGATGATGTGGAGGTTCAGCTCAATAAGATACTCTTTTAGAAAAATCTTATTTTTTAAATCCGTATTTTCTTTTCTTTCGTTTTCCTTCCTTCCAGCCTCAACAGTGGAGGTGATGGAGCTCGAATCTCCGTCAGGTGTGAGTGGCGCAACCTCATGTCCGAGTCGCAAGACCTCTAATGTGAGATCATGCGCCTTAATCTCGGATCTTCTGTGGAGGCTAAGTTCATCATCAAACTGGTGCTAGAGCTATTTGCACTCGTGCAAGCCCTTTTTCACCATGAAAATCAAGTATTTAATGCATCCATGAGTCCCCCCAGTTTGCGCTTTTGTTCCTCTCTCTCCTCACCTTCGCTTGCCCATTTGATGCGCTGCGCACAAAAGCTGAGCCCTTCCAATGGCCCCTTTGCAGTAATGAGAAGGTCCTTTGGCGGGTGAGAGTGCCGAGCCGAAGTAACCGGAGAATCCGTATCCAAAAAGATTAATATCATGAAAAATCAAAAAACCGATACACATTTGATAAATTTATTTTAAACTAATTTTTTGATCACCAAACACTCCAAATTGATACATTTGTTACAAAATTTACCCTCCGTTAGTTTCCGTTAAATTTTATCGTCAAATTGCTGAGTTGGATGATACGTGACAGTTGACGGGTGTACCAGTTTGGAGTGTTTTACCTTTCGTTTGTCACAGGTATACCTATTTGTAGTTTTTGTAATATTAAAACAATTTCATGAAAACTAACGGAGAGTAAATTTGTTACAGGTAAATTAGTTTAGGGTTTTCGATGGTAAAAAAATTATTTTAAGGCAAATTTATCACAGATATACCGATTTTGAGATTTTTGGTGATGAGCAAATTAGTTTGGATTAAATTTATCACCTGTGTATTGATTTGGATTTTTTCGTGGTATTACCTGTATAAAACAAGTCTCCAGAATCCCACGGTCCCACCATATATAGCCCACAACTCAGCTGTGAATGATGCACAGTCCGACCACCTCCATCATCTCCGATCAGCCTTCATCCAACAAATTTATAAACTTTGATTACTTTCAGCACGCACCCAAAATTTCTCAAACGTGAGGTCGCGAGCCTCAACCATAGATTGAAGTTTCGTCCACCGTTCGTTCACTGAAAGCTTGGCCTGACATCCGATGGCCCCTCTGTGAGGGCTTCACAGTCGTCTGAATCATCTCCGGCGAGCTCGGCCGAGACCCCTATTTTTTTTCTTTTCAGTTTTTCAAATTTCAAGAAGCCATTTTTGAAGTTCACTCTCTGCCTTATGGTCGACCTCCATTAACAAAGATTACCTGCCGCGATTGAGGTCATGAGATTCAGATCTGACTGCCAATTATTTTAAAAGCTTAAGTTTTTAGATTAAGGCGTGGTTTAATATTTAATTATCCTAACGCTCCTCACGATTAGTATTAAGTGTGAACATATTTAATTGAAGAGACAAATAAGGCCTGGAAAACTTTGAACTCATGAGCTCCAATTCCGATTCCATGTGAGATAACTGCCAACTGTTCTAAAAGCTTAAGCTTTTAGACGAAGGTATAGTTTAATATTTAATTATTCTAATAAGCTAAAATTCCATTAATGACACGAGGAGGGAGAGATATACACGTGAAATTGACACGTCACACTTTATCAGCAAAGTTAGACACAAAATTAATAGAAACCAAATTTGAATATGGAATCAAAATGGATCGAAGTTGAAGTGCGATCCAAAAGTTGGTGCTTTTAAAGAAATTGGACCTTTCAATTTGCTTTATAACATATCCACTAGTTATGCAAATCATTTATTATATTATGCTACGGACGTCTAAATTTGACTGCATGACCTAAAACAGACTCAATGACAAGATTAATATACACTATGGAATTCGTAAGAAGTTTTAGATGTAGGGCTACTTTAGTATGCAGAAGCCAGAAGCCAAGAGTCGATTTCCCAGATAATAATAGGTCCTGACCACTGCAGGCTCTAGCAAATTAACAGGAAGAGGGTCCATTTGGGCTGTTAGAATTCTATCTAGTTTAATGAATGCATGGTCAGAGGGTTGTTTTGCCTGCAGTCGGTGCTTATTTCCATTACATAAATCTCTCAGGGAAATTCTGTTTATTCCGTGCTTAGTTACATCAGTGTTAGTTGAAAGGAAAGTATTGCTTCAGCCAGAGTCTCCCCAATAAAGATTCTCAGCCATTGTTAGGAATTTGAACTATTTTTAATGAACGGTCGCTTGGCTCTCTCAAGTCTACGTGCGCACTCGTTCAATACAGTCTCAAACTTTCTCTGGTGTAGTTTAGTAACAACAGTGGGTAATTCATGGTGAAGGGCAATAGGGGCGTCACCTATGAAACAAAAAAGTGCAAGGGGAATGTGCCTGAAGAGTTCAAGTAGAGCCAAGTAGCAGTCAAATAGTGCCAAAGCTCTCCCTTTTCCTCTAAATATTCACTTTGCCCCATGTCCGTCTCACGCGAAGTTTGAGATGATGGGGCATCCCTCTGTTTGCTGCATTCTGGTTTCGTGCTTTGAAATGATGAGGCACGACTCCTGTCTTTAATAGAATCAAGGCTAAGGCTGACGATTTTCTTCTGGGTGCTTTCTTGGTTAAATATTGGGTTGAAATCTTAATTGTGATCCTGTTTCAAAGGCCATTTGTGGACTTCTCCTATTGCCAACCCAACCAACAATGAGTAGGCCTATACGTAACTATTCTTTAGAAACTTGTTAAGATCTTTCATTGAGGGCACCAGAGTCTGAGGAAAGTTTAGAATTTTTAGTCAGATCTTTCACCTAGGATCAAGAGTGCGATATTTGCAAAGGAAATATTTATATAATGGATTTCGAACCATTGATTCAGTGAACAAGTATACTCCTTGATTTACCTGTTTTAATGGCATGGAGGTTTTCTTAGCTCTACTTCTATCCTATTGGTGTAGTAATAGTTGAAGAAGGAATTTCATGTGAAATTGCCAATTCTCATGACCAGTGAAAGTACTTTGCCACGCACCCAGCCAACCCTTTCTTCCCCTAGCTACCAATTTTCCCTTTTATCCAGTCTGGCATGCGAACTTTTGCTTGACTATTGATGTACATTCTAAAATATACAAAGGTTCCTTCAAGATTTGATCTTTAGGATTTATTTGAATAAATCATAAGTTGATGGGAGTTTTTTTCTCATCTTCTTAATGCAATCTCTCAACAACTGGTTGATTCAAAGTCCGCCGTTGCCCGATTGAAATAGTTTATAACTGATAATTGCCTTGAGAAGTAAAATTAGAATGGCCGTGAGTTTGACTGATGCATAGAAATGGTAACGACCAGGGCTTTTTTCACTGGGTGGAATCAGCTACTTGAATTCTTTGATGGAAGTGCTCTAGGATTAGTATCACACATTCAGGAAGATTTAGTGATCTTGAATGATGTGACAAGAGATAGGAGGTGGCATTTATTTTCATCTCTACTTTCATCCAACACTGAATGTCTGTTTCATTTGTAGATCTTGCCATCCTTGTGAGGTGCGAATTCGTCTGGTTCTACACCAGACAGGTGCGATGTGTAAAAAGTAAATTTTTTTCAATTTCCCTTACAGGCAAAAAACAACGTAATATACTTATAGGTGGAATTAAATTAAAATAGTAGATTTACAGTGGTTGAAGATGGTAACAGCGCAGAAAGCACAAACAGGTAAATGGAAAAGGAAAGAGAATGTCATAGTGATACTAGAGTATAGTCGACTAGTATTATGCAACTAATTGATTGATTGGCATCTGAAATTTTCCAAGGTTGTCTTTTCTGTCAACTTAATAAGCACATATCCTTCCACCATCGATCTTCAACTGTTTATCTTGTGTATTCTTGCAACATGTGGACCTTGAGAATGCCGCAAATCTCTTAAACATCCTTTTTCCCTCTATTTCTGGAACTATTTCTTATAATTACTTAAAAAAGCAATTAGTGCGCCTGAAACAGTTTTTGATTTACCTATCTCTTCAAGTTTTTAGTAGTTCTGTATAATATTGTATATTGCTGTTCCATCATTCTCCAATTTACACGCAGGAAGCATTGTAATCACAAGCCTACAGAACATAGTAAAGAAGGAAGGCCTGAAGGGACTGTACCGTGGTCTCTCACCAACAATTCTGGCTCTTCTTCCGAACTGGGCTGTGAGTATTACTACTTTTTTCTTCTATTGACTGGAATTGTTAGTTTTAGTCTGTGAAAGAAAATTAGATTGCAACTGTTGCCATTGTCGATAAGAACATTGTTATGCTGATTTTCTCGCCGACAGCTCCCAACCTGGTTATCATCTGATTATTATTTAGAATTTTCATCTATCAAATACTGATTAGGCAGCCACGTATATCAAGTATCATCATCTATTGGTGGAGATTGAGTGGCAGTGCTGGTCAGTGACCACCTCTTGTTGGCTGTTATACCGCTGCTGACAACTGACATTATGCTTACTATCATCACCTTTTACTTAAGTCAGCATCTGGTAAGCACCAAAGGAAAAGGGTGCTCAGCCACAAAGTTCTTGCAGTTAATGCTTCACAATCAATTCATAGTGGAAATAAGCTGGGACATGGTCTCTAAACAACACCACATTTGTAGTGAGCAAACTATATGTTCCTCTTATTGCATAAAAGAATTGGTGGCTGGGAGAAATATCTACAGTGCTTGGGAGATAGGGAACCCTGTTTGAATTCTGCATATCTTATATCTGCATGTTATACACACAATTTATTTATACTCTAGGAAGACAGTGTTTAGGAAAACAAGTTTCTTTAGAGTTCAGGACAACGGAATTGCCATGTAAGAAATTTTTCTGCGGTCAATTTTACGCCTTATTTGTCAATCTGGAATGTTCATTCTATCATCTTAGTTAATCTGCTGGACCTTTGCAAGTTGCTGATTTTTACAAGTGAAGTGATTTTGTCTCACATTATGCGATGCATGCGAGATGTCATGTGTTTGCTTTATATACTCTTTCAAATGACAGAATGCTCATTTATATGCAGGTCTACTTCACGGTTTACGAAAGACTTAGGGGCCTAGTCCATTCACATGGTTGGTTTTCACAGTATCATTTACTCAACAACAGATCTCCTAGACGGAAGCTTTTCTTTGGATACATTTTATCAGCATTTGAGGATTATGTGTTGGAAATGAAGTCCATTCATGTATACTTTGCCATTTGATCTTATAAAGCGCTTAATGTCTTTGGATGCAGTTGATAATGGCAATCAAGTAAGCACCGGTGCCAACATGATAGCTGCTGTGGGTGCTGGAGCTGCCACAGCAATCACTACAAATCCTTTATGGGTTGTAGTAACCAGACTCCAAGTAAGTTGATCAGTGGGCATTCTACCTTAGTGAGCTCCTCATGATGAGAGTTTCAGACTACAAAATAATTATACCGCACCAAGCTTCAGTTATTTTTGATATCTCAGATTTGACCTGGTCGCTTGGCTTGGGTAACTTCAGAAACAAGCCCCAGAAGTCACGATATAATTTCTGCAAATGATTTTTTCAGCTGTCTTGGTTATATGGTAAACATTGCAAAAAATTTCGATGAGAAAGTTTAGATATTGCTAGGAATAGTAATTTCATATTTGTCTTCTCCATCTAAAGTCCTGCAGTATTCGACCAAAAAAAAAGTCCTGCAGTCTATTTGCAATGGGCATATATCCTATGTAGTCCTTGCATTGAAAGTTTCTAGCTTCACAGAAGAGAATTCTTTTTTCCGTTTAATTTTAGCAGAAGATTACTGCTAGAAAAGTAAAAATGCAAGGATTGTGCAGAGTGAAGGATTATTTTTTTAGACTTCACTTGTGACACTTAGTTGCCTTTCTTATTGTAGACACAGGGCATGAGACCAGAAGTGGTTCCATACGTAAGCGTACATTCTGCTTTAGGCAGGATCGCACGTGAGGAAGGTCTCCGTGGTTTGTATAGGTTAGTTTTTGCTACTGCTCGGAGTGATTCCCAAAGTCCAGACATTCTATGAAGAATACATCATTTATTATTTGTACTTTTCCCCCCTACTTCCTTTGGACAGTGGCATTCTCCCATCATTGGTAGGACTAAGTCACGTTGCAATTCAGTTTCCAGCATATGAGATGATCAAACATTACATAGCGAGAAAAGGTATATATATGCTTGTTCTACGTGGGTGCATGATTTTTTTTTTTTGTATGTTTGTGATTTCGACACGGTTATTGCTTTTTGTCTGTAATTTGTTTGTAGATAATATTACTGTCGATCAACTTAGCCCCGGAAGTGTAGCGATTGCCTCCGCAATATCTAAGCTCCCAGCCTCCATCATGACTTATCCACATGAGGTATTTTTTTCTTTTCTGGACTGGAGAGTTATATCATTTCATTAATTCCCCATATTCAGCGAAAGCATCTTGGGTAACTTTCACCTATTTGCTTGTGTTTGTGTGCACAAGGAACTGATTAGAACTTTGTCTATTCAGGTGGTACGTTCCCGGTTGCAAGAGCAGGGACATTGTAGGGATTCTGAGGTTCTGTATGTGGGAGTTATTGATTGTGTCAAGAAAGTATTTCAGAAGGAGGGTATCTCTGGATTTTATCGAGGCTGTGCTACAAATTTACTGAGGACTACTCCGTACGCTGTTGTTACATTTACCAGTTATGAGATGGTACATAGATTTTTGCAACAAATAATACCTCCACACAAAAAACATTCACTATCAATCCCCATTTCCAATCCCATCACCAACCAGAAACCCAAGGAACTGAAGAGGGAGTAAATAGTGGAGTGACCCAGCAATCACAGACCCACTCATGTAAGCCAACCCACATAGTTCTATTGGGAAAGAAAGAGCAGATAGCAGCAGAAGTTGATTAGATTTTTTGATGTATGCCATTTTCTGATTTGATAATTGTGTTGTTTAGAAAGGATTGTAGTACTTTAATTTAAATGCGGAGTTGAATAAGCGAACGGTCTTCTTGGTTTTTTCAGCGAGCTCCTTTTTATCTCCCATTGTTGAGTTGGGGCTGTCTTTTGATATTTGTACTTGTTATATGGTTTTTGTATATGACCGCAATGTCCAACTGTAAGCACTACTAATTTACCATAGAGCAGCTCTGCTCTTAATATTTTTGTGCATTCATGAATTGGTGAATGGGTGGTGCAACAGCATGAGCAAAGCCATATTGGCTGATTTTTACATAGCACTTTATTTCAGCCGGAGAACCAAAAAATTACAATGCATTATCGAGATGTTGACATTGCGTCCATGTTTTTGTCTCTTGTTGACAACAACCGATATTGACATATCTGCAGCCAAGTGTACAATTTTGAAGATAATGCTCAATAGGTAATTATGTCAGACGTCTCTCCTCTCCTCACTGTTCTATTGTATTAAAGAGGAAGTATGTTGAGTTCTTGATTCTAAGGAGTACAGAAGCAAATATATGTCATACCATATCATTTCCAAACGAGATCCACAAAAGTGCTTCATAGTTATGTACATTCCTTTGGATTTTAACTCAGCCATAAACCCTGGCACGTCAGATGCATTATACATAACCACTCGCTTACATGCAATATATCTACTGGCAGCTCATTAAAAATTCAAATTAAACTTGAACGCTGGGAGCAGAACGACTGCTGATGCTATCCCATCTTTGAGTCACAGAAACAGGAGAACGTGTCAGCTGCATATTCTTCAATAGCTGGACATCGTCATAATCCGGGGGAGATGCTAGGACGTTTTCATCACCGTCAACATCCACAAATTCGTCTGCAGCTTTCTCGCCACTTGCAATTACCTTCAGTTCCTTCAAAACCTCGTCCATTGATGGCCTCATCTCCTTGTCCTGTTGCAAGCACCGGAATGTCAGCTCAGCCACTGAAGTTGTCATCCTATAAATTTCGTCATCTAACTCAAATCCTAGAGTCGGGTCGATCAGTTCACTGAATGCGCATTTCTGAATCTTGTTGACAGCCAGATTGGCTAGATTAATCTCATGCCTTGCTCTGCTTACATCCACGGCTGTCTTGGACGATATAAGCTCAATCAGAACAACTCCAAAGCTATAAACATCGCTTTTCTCAGTAAGTTGATAGCATTGATAATACTCAGGGTCCACATAACCTGGAGTTCCTTGAGGAGATGTTGAGATGTGACTGACATCATTAGGGAATAGCCTGGAAAGCCCGAAATCTGCAACTTTGACACTAAAATTACTGTCGAGAAGGATGTTATTAGTTGTTACATCGCGGTGGATAATGTCAGAAGCATGGAGGTGAGCCAATGCGGTGGCGGTCTCTATGGCGATGCTCATACGGGCATGCCAAGGCAACATAGAGAGTTTTGCTTTTCTGCTGTGGATATGATCAGCCACAGTGCCATTGGAGACATACTCATAGACGAGTAGAAGTTCATGGCTGTGACGGGATGTGCAACCGTAAAGCAAGACGAGGTTTTTGTGGCGTAAGCGGGTGAGAATCTCTACTTCGTTCATGAACTGCTTCACCCTCAGGTGGCTGTGCTGGTTTAGGCGCTTGACTGCTACTTCCCGTCCGTCTCGGAGTTTTCCTGTTACCAAATTGAAGAAAATTCTTTCAATATAATTCTTCATCCCTTAACAAGAGGCAAAATGAACATTAATTACCATAGTAAACAGTTCCAAAACCGCCATCCCCAAGTTCATTGGAAGCAGAGAAGTTATTTGTGGCTTCTTCGAGCTCAGAACTGGTGAAAATGGGGACCTCAAAATAGACACTTCTCTCTCCCATGTCCGAATTCGAGTAAGGACATGAAGTGTTGTTTCTCAAATGGAGCTTATGAGAAGCATTTTTCCTTTTCAAGTAGATCACATAGGACAAAAGGCCAATGATCAAGCTTCCAATTCCAATACCTGACAGACATACAAGCAGATAGTAAAACTGGCTCCGTAGGCAGCTAGGCAGGTAACGTAATAAGCTTCTAAAAATACTCCGGGAACAAGAGAGTACATGGAAAATGATGCTTAGAAGAAGCTTAATAGGCTTTTGTTTTAACTGGTTTGCAGTTCCCAGGACTTTGGAATTTTATTTGCTAAAAGCATAGCTCGGTAGTTGTTTTGCACTTTCTTGGGAAGCCACATATTGGATATTGTTTTGCACTTTCTTGCTCATGCATCAGATAATCTAACGCTGTTGTCAAAACAGATGCAATAAGCTAAGACTGTTTTTGTTGGTCTATCATGTCAAGTGGCGAGCAGATTATACTTATGGTAATTTGCTTTGTTCGGGTCTGATGAAGGGCATGCAGTTAGACAAGCTACTCGAGAAAATTTACCGTGTCCTATCTTCAACCACAAGCGTCTTTTTCCTGCATCAAAGATGAAAGGCAGATTGGTCAATAAGGGAAAGGATTTGGAGTTAGTGCCCATAGAGTTCATAAAATAGGTTTGCACATTTGGAGAAATATAGAGTATGCTATTTAGAAAAGCCAGTATTGTCATCTGAAGCCTATGTGGACATCATTGAAGGGAGAAACCATTTGCCTCATTATTAAGCAATCTATTGTAATATAGAGCCTTAGGGTCTGCAAAGGTCATACTGGAATGTGTGGCCATTGGATTAGAGTAAACAAGTCTTGGATACTCTGCAAAATAAGGATGTGGTTATTCAAAGAATCTCCTTTTTATGACGTTGGGCATACTATCCAGGCTTCTTAGATCCCTGACCAATCCCAATTTTGGGAGGTTCTCTATAGGACATGGGAAGCTCCTTGGTCATCTTCCTCCTAATAGTCATAGTGTTTATATTGCCCTAATAACCAATTCTATTCAGGAAAGAGAATTATTTAGGACATGATGCAAGAAGTGTCAATTCGTAGTCCTAAAAACCTTACCGCTGTTGCTGCTATTACAGTCCTTGTGGTGGTGAGTTCCATCAGGGCAATAACAGCAGAAATGTTGCTCGTCTGACAGTCCACATCGGCCTTTACTTTGTCGACAAGTATGACAACTCTTTTCGGGTAATAAATCCCATTTTAAGATGAACCCTTCCTTCAACAACTCCTTGTAGTCCACATCACCTATTGTTTGGTTCGACAACCCTTCCTTCAGTTCTACTGGTACCTCCACAGACGACTGGCAGGCTCCACCTTCTTGATAGTAGGGGTCATTTGGATGTATTAATGCAACAAAGGAGTTATATATGGGGTTAGACGTACAATTTACTGGGATTGTGGGGTAATGAAAAGAAAAAGAGCCTGTGCAATTATAGAAGAACCAGAGTCTTGGATGAAAGGAGTAACTGTGACCTAAAATCGGGTTTACGGGATAGAAAGTGGAGGGACGAGGAGTGAAGCAGGGAGCATCCATAACGTACTCATTCACCAATTGAATAGATTGTTCTTCATAGGAAATTCTTTCAACCGAGTAGTGACCGTACATAGTTTTTGTTCCTTGACAGATGATCTCAAATCCAGGGTAACCACATAAGCCTCTTTCTTTTCCAGGAATGTAAAAGGGATACCTTATTTCTGGGCTTCTGCCCCCGCCACATTTCAGGGGTTCGCAAAGTTGATACTGTGATGAGTTAATGGTCTCACCTAACATGGCAGTGAACAAGATGTGCAACCCAATGTGAAGTAGCACTCGCGCATGAGCACAGTATAGACCCATGACCATCCTGAGACTTTACGCGCGGTTTCCAGGCTTCGAATGAGAGGGGAAGATTTTCCGTTTTACATTGATGCTTTACAATGTAGCAGCTTTGAACTTGAAGGGAAGGCCTTCTGATTGGAAATACCTGCACATTGCTTCCTCTGCTCTTCATCTGCATAAACACGTTAGTTGACTTGGAAAAGAGGGCATGGAAGACTTGAAGAGACTTTGAAAAAAGAGGTAGGGACACCTAAATGAAGATTATTAAGTTTTGGGTCTGTCACATGTAATTGTAATGCCATCCATCACTTCCTTCTTGCTGATGATAGGCTGACGAAAAAATTCCAATCAGTCGATTTTCCACCAATCTTGGCCCCATTGACCAGTTATTGAAAGACTTTTTGACGATTCCATTTCTTTCCAAGCAATTACAGGTGACCCTCGCATATTAAAGCAGATAAGCAAGACAAGGAACAAAAGAACAAAACTTGGGGTCTAACTATAATTGAATCCATAAAAAAGGGGGAGATTCCACAAAGAAACATTAGTTGAAGTGAAACAAATAATTATAAAGGGCAGGGGAAATAAAGGAAATGATTATAAAACAAGTTCATGAGTTGCAATAGGAATTGCTCAGTTAGATCAGAGGCTGATTGGCCTATAAGCGGCTCTTATATCCATTTGGTAAGTCTCTTGAGAAGATGTAAGAACTACTCTCTGAACAGTAACGGCAGTGTCAGTGGTAAGAACTAAGAAGGCATTGTTTGAGCCAGTGATTATGTCAATTGAAGTTTTCAAACCGATGCCCTCACACAGAGCTTGTTGGGTGCGAAATGCTGTTACTCGACGTCTGCTGATATTGTCAGGCAATGCCACTAGCAGTGGAGTAATAACAAGACTAGAGTCTCGCCAAATGTATAGAGAATCCCGTTTTGCCTGTGATAAAGACTACTAGCAGTAGCCATTGAATCTATGTCCATTTAGGCCAAGGTCTTATATGTGTGCCCCTTTCATGGATGTTTGGGGGTTCAATTTTTGCCAAGAATCTAAGGGCAGTTAAGAGATAGCCAAAAGTTTTGTTGCATTTTGGATAGGACTCGTACTCGATTGTTTATTTCTAGCTAGACCTGTCCTCCTATCCATGCCTGCCCTACCAATGGAGAACCAATTGTATATGCGTCCTCCCTGGGCTTCACATCTATGCCGGTCTATCCGAATGGCTCACAGTACGACAATCGCTAGAAGATGATACGGAAATTTTTTGAAGATGTCTCATTGAGGATTGAGAGTGGTGATATTTACAAGGGAAGGTTGCGGGTAGTGGGATTTTGAGCTAATGATTGCGTTGAAATTATTAGCGATGAGTATTCACCTTTCTAGGTACTCAATTCTTGTGAAAACACCTAAGTCATATGACCAAGTTAAAATTGAGATTATAAAGTACCTGGAGAGAGCAATATAGTTCCCTTCAAGTAACGGATTCTAGCCAATCGAAAGGAGTTGACAGATAAGTCACCCTTACTGCCACTCTTTAGCTTTTCGCTCCAAAAATTACTTTTGAGTCTATTTCAATTAAGGGGGTCATGGAAAGAACATTAAGTTCTACCTACTATTGGACCCTATATTCATTATTGTCTTTATTTTGATTACCACTTATTGTATTTGGTTTGGCATTGTGATCACGCATGAGTTTGAGAGTCATGATAATATTATTGAGGAACGTCTTCATCGGAATGATTTTCCTGTATACAACATTGAATTGAACCATAGACAAACTTGGACTTGCGATCCCAGGTAACCCATCTCCGGGTCCCTGCGGAAAGGAAAAAGAGTGTGGGTGGATTATTTTGAGTGGAGAGAACTTTGAATCGAACGACGACGGTAATGGCGGTCCCCCTCTTTCCCTTTTTCGCCTCCATGTTCACTTCAGCTGAGAGACCTGATATACATCTTGTCATATGTCAAGTCACCATGGTCATAAGCTTGAATGATTGTATCGCAGAAGTTCAGTATAAGTCACAACCAACCATAGAGAAAGATGGTCTCTGAAGACTTCCCTATAATTGTTATCTATGTGTTGAATTTGCTCATGTTTTTACGCCGTTCCTTTTCTCGGCCAACCAATATATCCACGTGTCGTGTTGGATACTTCTAATGTAGAAAGAAACAACAGAAAAACTAAATAACCTATTTATGGTTCAATATCCGGTGCAAGCTAGATTGACAAAAGTGCTTTATTACCATGTCCATACCTTCAGATTTCGACCCAGCACTTGAATCAGTAACGTCTCAACATATATGACTGCTCGCTTGCATTCACGTGTGTGTAAAGTATGTGACAAACGATACATGGATAATCTAACCATCAACACCAGGAGCAGAACTTCCGCTGCTACCCCATTTTTGAGTCACAGAAACTGGAGAATGGGTCAACTGCATATTCTTCAGTAGCTGGGAATCGTCATAATCCGGAGGAGATGGAGCAAGGACACTTTCACCCTCATCTGCATCAACAAATATGTCCGTAGCATTATCATCGCATGCGATCGCCTTCAGTTCCTCCAAAACCTCATCCATTGGAGGCCTCATTTCCTTGTCCCGTTGCAAGCACAGGAAAGCTAACTCGGCCACTGAAGTTGTCATCCTATTGATTTCGCTATCTGACTCAAATCCTAGATTTGGGTCGATCAATTCGCCAAACGCGCATTTCTGAATCTTGTTAGTAGCGAAGTTGGCCAAATTAATCTCGTGCCTCTCTCTGCTTATGTCCACAGCTGGCTTGGATGATACAAGCTCGACCAGAACAACTCCGAAGCTATAGACGTCACTCTTCTCCGTGAGCTGGTAGCACTGATGGTACTCGGGGTCCACATAACCTGGAGTCCCTTGAGGAGCTGTAGAGATATGAGAGACATCATTGGGGAATAGCCTCGAAAGCCCAAAATCCGCAATTTTAACTCCAAAATTCTTGTCGAGAAGGATGTTATTTGTTTTCACATCACGGTGGACAATGTCAGAAGCGTGGAGGTAAGCCAATGCAGTAGCAGTCTCTATGGCTATGTCCATACGGATTTGCCAAGGCAATATAGTAGACGAGTTTGCTCGCCGGCCATGGATATGATCAGCAACAGTGCCATTCGAGATGTACTCATAGACAAGTAGAAGCTCACGGCTGTGGCGAGATGTGCAACCGTACAGAGACACAAGGTTTTTGTGTTGCAAACGGGTTAGGATCTCTACCTCATTCATGAACTGCTTTACCCTTCGGTAGTTACACTCGTATAGGCGCTTCACTGCTACCTCCCGCCCATCTCGAAGTTTTCCTGTTAAGAACATTGTAGAAAATGTCTTTCAGTAGCGAATCCCTTGAAGGAATAGTGAAAGAACATTTTCTCACCGTAGTAAACAGTTCCAAAACCTCCGTCTCCAAGTTCACTGGAAGCAGAGAAGTTATTTGTGGCTTCTTCGAGTTCGGTACTGTTGAAAATGGGGACTTCAAAGTAGACATTGCTCCCTTCCATGTCTGAATTGGAGTGAGGATATGAGGTGCTGTTTCTCAAAAGGAACTTCAAAGAAGCATTCTTCCTCTTCAAGTGGATCATATAGGACAACAGGATGATGGCCAAGCTTCCGATTCCAATACCTGATGCACCAGGAGATAATTAACCCGTGTCCTATATAGGAAAATGCTTTTAACTTTTGTGCTGTTTCCTAG